GCTTTTTTCTTTTTGCTTATGTGGTGCTGAGGAATCGAACCCAGGGCCTCATGCATGCAAGGCAAGCACTCTACCACTGAGCCACCTTCCTAGCCTAGTACCTTTATTTCAATGGAATCATGTGGAGTGACCATTAGTATCACTTGAATATCTGAAAACTTTTAAAAGTCACTTTATTTATCTCTACTTTTATTTACTCAAATTAAAAACAACTTCTTATTTCATGAAAACAAGCATACTTTTCAAAATTAAAATGCTTCTAAGATACTCAGGAGGCTGAGATCTAAGAATCAGGACTCAAAGGCAGGCCATACAGGAAACTCTGTGAGACTTTTATCTCCAATTAGCCATTAAAAACACAGAAGTGAAGCTGTGGCTCCAGTGGTAGAGCAACAAAGCTAAGGACAGTGTCCAGGCCCTGACTTCAAGCTCCAGTACTATCAACTACACATTTCTAATCCTAGTTCCTCAGGAAGCTAAGATCTGAGCATCACAGTTTGAAGCCAGTCCAGGCAGGAAAGTCCATGAGACTCTTATTTCCAATATTACTCAAAAAAAGCTGGAAGTGGCAGTGTGGCTCAACAGTAAAACCAATGTCTACTAAAATCAAATGTCTACTAAAATCAAATGTCAAATGGTAGGCATCTAACCAAGTCTTTCTGCTCTATCATTTGTAGTATAACTATATGTTTCTAAAAATCTGAATCGCAGAGATCACTTCCAAAAACGTCATCCTCTTACCCGTCTCTTGTCCTTCTAGGAATGTAATGAAAAATACTCCTTGCCCAAAAGCAGTTGTTGAGAGGAGGCACTGCACACAGATTGTTAAAGAAAGGAGAAAAGCATCCTGTTAGTGTTTGATTGAAACCACAGAAACCCCACAGTACCAAATTCAAAGAGAGGTTGACACTTTCAGATTCTAAGGATGCCAAGCCATTGCTCCAGGCAATAATTTAAATATGGGAATCTGAAAAGCTTAGCAAAATGTCAGCCTACTCTGAAAAACATGCTAACAAGCTAGTTTTTAATGTTAAAAGGAATTATTTATCTTTAATGCAATGCTTGAAGTGTCATAAATCCAATGCACTGTATATAGAAATGTGTAACAGGAACTAGTGGAAAATGAAATGGAGCAATTTACTATTTTTTATTATTAAGTAAATGCCCTGAAGCACATTGCACGTAGACTGATGGGACAGCTACACAATTCTACACACGTAGACTGATGGGACAGCTACACAATTCTACACAAGAAAGAGAGTGTATTGGCAGAAAAGGTTATTTTATCTTCAGTGGAGAGGTCCGTGTCAGAAAAGAAAGTTCACTGAAAAAGAATCTGATGTTTAAAAATACAACATACCAGAGGGTTTTTTTAATTGATGGAAATATTTGAATATGCAAAAAGCTAACTGAATGCCATATGCATAGAACTCCTAAATACAGAGGTTGAAGTAATAACAAAAATGAGAGTATTTGAAAGTTTGCTCTAGGTGTAAGAAGTTTATGGGGGAGAAACACTACATAATTCCTTTATGTTCATTATTGTAAGAGCCTCTAGTCAATACTAATACAAAATTATCGGTTATGAGTTACTGAAGGTGGGGCATAAGCTAATGAAATGGAAAAACACATATACACCAGCCAAATACTAATTGAATGGAGCCATTTCATTATATGTGCATGAATATGTGCATATATACATCTGGTAGAAATCAGCAAATAAAGAAAATTGAATAGTTTCTTGAAGTTGGAGAAAAATTATCTGACTGTCATAGACAATTTACCCTATGGCTCTAAATGAACATAAAAGATGAAGCCATTCCTATTGAGTGGGAAATACACTAGGCTGTCAAGAATTTAGTGCTAAGCCAAAGGACTTGCTCTGAGATTCCAAGTCTCCCTGACATCCCCTGAAGAAGAATCCAGTCATAATTCTGAAACTTAACAGGGTTATGTGATGAACATAGTGCAAATATGCACAGATCTGACCACACTGATGTGACAGAGACTGGTTTAGTCACGATTTGCTTGCTCCTTCCACACATCAGGCACTGTGCATCACAAATCACAGAAATAAAAGAATAAATTTACGTCTTCCATCTCTTTTCATATTGCATACATGGCAACATTCTCACTCTTTTTCAGAAGGTACATTTGAAATGGATAAGCAATTCTGACATTGCTAATGGAGAGATCTATCTAATGTGATATGACTTGTGATGCTCCAAGAAAAAATGCTTATGTTTTACTTCTGAAATAGCTTTAGAAATCTATTTTCTTCCATGAACAAAACAAAGAAAAAGCAAAGTTGTTTGCTTCTTAGAAGGTGTTGTTGATTCCCGAGAGTCTTCATAGAGCCTTGCTTACATGAAACATGGCAATGTTTAATGGGTTGCCACTGCATCCATGAAAAGTAATAAAATGCCAATGAGTTGTCATTGCAAGTTTTGGATAAGAAGGTAGAATAAAGAGACTATATAGTAGAAATCTTATGTAGATCAGAACATCATGTGTTGCTAGGTTGAGGGCTGTTGTTTGCTTATTTGTTTGTTTTGGTGGGTAAATACCAATATTGTTTTATTTTACATTTGTACAGAAACAACTTACCAGTAGTGTCTGAATGGCAAAACTTAATTGGTTATGTAGGACCAACAAGACAATGTAGGGTAGAAAACTGATCATATACACCAGGCTGGTACATAGGGCTGCGGTATTAGCTTGGCTGAAAAACGCACTCAAGAAGTAACTCATCATGACAACTGACACTCCAAAATCCAGGAAGAAGAGGATAATAATAAAGGCATCACTGTGCATGAAGATACCACTTATTTTCAGAATGATGGCCAGAGCAATGCTGCTCAGGGTCAGCACAACCATGTTCTCCAGAAACCAAGCCAGGAAATAGATGGTTGGATGCACTCCCATTATCCGCATATACTGTCAAAAGAGGGAAAACTTAGTCATCACAGAATTAGACTCTTTATTTTTTGTGCCTGTAACGGGTCTTGAACTCAAGGACCCGGTACCATCCCTTAGTTTTTCACTTCAGGCTACGGTTCTACTACTTGAGCCACAGCTCTACTTCCAACTATTTGGGTCATTCATTGGAGATAGGAGTCTTATGGATTTTCCTGCCTAGGATGGCTTCTCCAATGGGGATCCTCAGATCTTAGCTTGATGAGTAGCTAGGATTACAGGCATGAGCCGGCAGCATTCACTAGAAATTGGCTCTTGAAAAAGAACGGGAAGGATTGTATTCAAGAGGTGACCCTATCTGGTTTGCAAGTCCAACCCTTGTGCAGGACACTGGAATGGTCAATTGCTTCCAGAGCTCAGCATGTGGTTTTCATAAGCACATTGCGAAAGTTGGCTGTTTAACACTTTGGAGGAGAAGGAACTGAGATTGGAAGAAGTGAAGACAATCTCACCAATAAAAAGGTTCATTTTCAACATAGTGCTTTGTACATCTCACTGTTACAATGGGTCAACCTGCATCCTTATTTAAGCATTTTGTTTTTTCCCTTCCCCTCCCTGAATTAGAGAAGTATATGTACAAGATGCAGGACACTGACATCAAATGCAATGAAAATGTGGGTGTGGGGGGGGATAGTTGTGGGGGTGGGAGGGAAGGGATGCTAGGGGAAAACAAAGGAGGAGGCAACAACGCTTGATAGGAAATGTACTCATTACCTTGCTCATGTAACTGTAACCCCTCTGTACAGTATTTTTACAATAAAAAATGTACAAAAAACACAAGGGGAAGGGGTAGAGGTAGGTATAAGTAGACTTTAGAGTCAACTACCATCTTATTGTGTTTTCCTGTTTTTCAGAGGTTTGCTGTTTTAATTTGTGTTTGTTTTTTTATTTTGTGTTGGTTTCATTTAATAAAGGTAAAAAGAGACATGCAGGAAGAAAATACCTGGTACATAAGGTTTTCTGTTTGGAAGGCCAGTACAAAGTATTTAGAATGGATTTTGCCAAATAATAATGCTGGTTGAAGCAGTACCAATAAAATTTATTTATTCATAAAGCTTACTATCTGCTAGCCAGGCCTGGAGGCTCATGCGTGTAATCCTATGGTACTCAGGAAGCCAAGATCTGAGAGTAAAAATTTTATGCCAGCTTGGGCATGGAAGTCTGTAAGGTTCTTATCTCCAATTACCTACCAAAAAGCCAGAAGTAAAGGTGTGACTCAAGTCATAGAGAACTAGCCTTGAGCACAATAGCTTAGGAACAGCATCTAGGCCCTGAGTTCAAGTCCCAAGACTGGTACAGAGAGAAAGAAAAAAAAGAAGACAGGAAGGAAGGAAGGAAGGAAGGAAGGAAGGAAGGAAGGAAGGAAGGAAGGAAGGAAGGAA